TTTAATTTTACCCCGGGCCCAGGTATACTGACCCTGACTACACTGCTGTGGTAACGTCTTCCTTTGCAAGTCGTCTACAGATGAGTAGGGTACCTGCTTAGGATGATTAAAAGCGGTTGATAGCGCTTAATCGTCTTTAATTCATAATAATAAAATGTTAACAATTAATGTAATTGAGGCGAACGGTACCGACAGAGATAACCGCGATACGCTTCCATTGATTTTTATGACCTTTGAACAATTCAACGCAACAACGAGAATTTACTAGAAAGGTAAATAAATAAATAAGTCGGCGATAGCAACATGCAGCTTAGGGAGTTGGGATCTACTGTTATGTAGGGGTCTGTACCTGCTGCGGTAAGGCCCCTTGTTAAGGAGTGGCTTGAGAGATGCTATAGCGTTCTCACCTACGGCCTGACGCAGGTGCTTACCGGATATGGGAGCTTTGGGAGATACCTGTATCTAATAGGGCGGCGGGAGGAAACGCCCAGGTGCCATCACTGTAAGGACCGCCCTGAGGACACGGTGGGACACACGGTGGGGGCATGCCCTGCATGGGCTGAGCACCGCCGTGCTGTCAGGGATGTGATCGGCGACGGCGGCCTCTCGCGTCCGGCCCTAGACCGGACCATGATGTGGAGCGACGAGGACGAGGATGCCGTCTTCTCCTTTTGCAAAGCAGTGATGCTAACTAGTGGGTAGGCGGGGCGCGTGGAGGAGATTGTAATGAGGCGTTACGAAGGCACTCCGGGGGTCGGGGATCGCGGGACTAATGCCGGATTGATTTTCTGTTTGTTTGTTTGTTTGAATTTAATAGGCTCCGAAACTATTGGACCGATTTGAAAAATTATTCTTTTATCGTTAGAATAGAAGAAAGAAAAATCATTTATTCTGCACCAGCCACGATGCAGCTTAAATAAAATATAAAATAGACAATAAAGGTGTGACAGAATTGTACATTATCTCTGATTAATATAAGCTATATTTAGATATAGAAAAAGCTATATAGAAAAAAGGGAAACCTTGTGAAAATTTCGATAATGTATCCCGATGTATGAAAAACTACCAAAAGAACTCTCTATATTATTGATATTGCTTACGCTGTAGAAATTACGGACAACATAGCCAAAAGAATGTATTCTTTTAACGATATTACATGTAACTAAAACAGTTATGGCACAAAAACTATTTTTTCACCTAAACATGTTTAACAGTAACGTCGCACCGGGACAAATCAGGACGTACACACACAACCACACAGGAAGCGGGACATACCTAGTGGATGGTGTCGAAGCCTTATTGAAACTAAACATAGGAAACATAATAATGTGTGCTTTCCCATATTCTGACAATTTGACAGAATCACAAAATAAAAAATATACATTATTTGAATCTTTATAAAGCTGAAGAGTTTGTTTTTTTGTTGAACGCGCTAATCTCCGAAACTACTGATTCGATTTGAATAATTATTTTTGTGTTGGATAGTCCATTTACCGAGGAAGGTTATAGGCTATATTACATCACGCTGCGACTAATAGAAGCGGAGAAACCGTGATAAATGTGTAAAAAACGGGGAATATTATTCATCTTGAGGGATTCCGTTGCGTGCGCTGCGAATACAGTTCAAGATACACAAAATAATTGTATGAAAGAATTATTCGACTTAAAATGATCTACAAAAAAATCTGCGACAGTATATGTCTATCTTTTAAGATTAACTCATAAGAACCGCTTTTATGGTAACTAATTTGGTCGAATTTATTAACATTTATTTGTTAGAGTTGTATCAACATAATAATATTAATCTTTATCCAAATAAATCTTTATCCAACGGGAATTATGCATTAAAGCCCCGGGACTCTCTACCTCTTAACCACTGAACTTATTTTATAGAGATTGGATACAACAGTAGTCAAAGATATCAAAGTTAAGTCGACTGAAGATCTCTGGGGATTGTCTGTTAGGGTGTGTCGGTCTTTTATAGAGACTATAGCGCCTCATTTAGCTTTTATTTTTAATAAAAGTTTAGATCACGAAGTTTTCCCGGATTTAATGAAACATATTAAAGTAGTTCCATTGTGTAAATCTGATATGATAGCGCAGAACCCAATAATTATAAACCAACCATAGAGTCTCTATTTTACCATCGCAAAGTGTTTAAAAGGCTCATGCTTACTCAGATGTTCCGTCATTTTAACATGAATTCTATATTTCATGATCAACAATATGGATTCCCCAAGGGTCGCTGCACTACTGACGCGGATGTAGCTCTGGTTAAGCGGGTTTTCGCCTCAAGGGATGAAGCACGGAATGCCATCGGAATATTTTGTGATCTTTCGAAGGCATTCGACTGTGTTTAACATGAGACACCATTTGAAGCTGGAATACTACGGCATTCGGGAAACGTCGCTAAATCTGTTGAAATTATACCTTCAGGATAGGCAACTTACAGTACAGGTAAATAAAGTAAATTCACAGGGTGCTAGCATATCTATGGGTGTACCGCAGGGCTCGATACTAGGTACATTCTTATTTTCAGCATACATAAATGCATGCCCCATTTATTTAAAAATTAACCGCAGATGGTATTTGCTGACACTACATTTGTTTTTAAAATAGATAGACGAACAAATAATTATGACGACGTAAATAATGCCCCAGTGAAGGTTCAAAATTGGTTTATATTAAATAACTTAGTACTAAACGATAAAAAGACAAAATGTATTAGATTTGTTTTACCAAATGTTAAAAGGAAGGAATACAACATATTGTTGAATGGTGAGAGATTATAATTTGTTAAAGAGACAACTTTCCTTTATGTCGTAAAGATTAAGGATTGTTAATCTAAAAATAATGCAAAATAACGGACAATAGCAGGCTAACGAAAAAAACTACTAATTCTAACTTGGAAATCTCACGAGAACTATACCTTAAAATCTCGGGACTGTCTAATTTTTAAACAATTACTTTTTATTGAAATTTAATTTAAATTTGGTTCAACGACAGTTTGAGACACTGCCACTGGAAAGGACGTATGCCGCGGGATAAGAACTATGTTTGTATTGTAACTTTCGTGAGACATACTAAATAAATTATCATGTTTTCGGCTTACTCACCTCTAGCATGGCTTGAAACTAGTCGAGTTCCTCGTCAAATTATTACGTGAGTAAGCCGAAAACATAATAATTTATAAGAACTAGGTGTTAAAATTCCGGGACTCTCCATCGCTTAAGCCATTGAACTTATTTGAGTGAAATTCAGAACAACGACACTATGAGACCCGGAATAGGACACCTGAGAGTTTTCAACCGCTGTACCTATTTAACTCGTCGAGTACCGGTTTTATAGACACAATTAAAGAACAATAGGTCGCGGTCACCGGTGACCGCTTGGTGTTTGACAGTTTAATTGGAATTCGGTACAACAAAGATTTGCAACCCGGTTAAGGACATTGAATAATTTCTTTCACTAAAACCTCACAGGAACGGACATTATACGGGTAAAACCCTCGTGGGATTGTTTATTTTTTGAAGTGACGAAAATGAATTCATTTCTCAACAAATATAACATAGGTACTGAATCGATTTTGACGAGGTTTGTAACACAGCATTGGAATTCGCCTTGGAAAAGACTAATAAAAAAATCAACATTCTGCCAGAAATAAATATTATACGCGGATAAATTCGTGGGAAACAAATATTCTACCTTTAATTTCATCTGTTGTTTCGAAGCCATAGTTTCTAAGGCAATCAAAGTAAGTCACTTCTCTGGGACTGTAATAACTGACAATGTTTAGGTAAATACCTAAGTATATGTCTGCCGATGTTAATTGACATTACATAGTGAGTAGTGACACAGTAGCGGTCCACGTCACAACTACGGTTCACACGGACACCGTCATTGTCAGCGCCAGCACGAGCACATTGAATCATCATCACCTTGACACACTATGCGCCGCCACTCCGCGCGCCGCCGCCGGCAGCTGACGCTGGGAAAATTGAACCAATGCGACGCGACGCCTCTTACTATTCAAACTTGCATTTTATATGTATAGTTAATCGACTTCTCAAATAGAGGTTCTCAATTTGGCTTCTTTTTGAGTCTTTTTGCTTTTTAACCGACTTAAAAAAAGAAGGAGTTCTCAGTTTAACCTGTATTAATGTATGAATGAATGAAAGTTTTGTTCCTATTTGGTTTTTAAAGTCGGTATTTTATTCATCTTAAATTGCCATTTGCAATGCTAAAACGTAGCTACACCTGATTGAGAAAATTTTACCTATTCTACATTAAATTCTACATGCTTGGCTAGGACTTAGGAAGATAATAGGTATACTAAGATGATAATTTAGTTAATAAATAATTTATCTTACCTACTTTAAATCTCACGATCTAATTCATCATCATCATCATCATCATCAACAGCCGGAAGACGTCCACTGCTGGACTGGACAAAGGCCTCCCCCTTAGCCCTCCACGTCGAACGACAACTCGCCACCCGCATCCACTGGCTCCCCGCAACTCTGGCGATGTCGTCGGTCCACCTAGCGGGAGGCCTGCCCACGCTTCCGTCTTCCGGTCCGTGGTCTCCACTCAAGGACTTTCCTGGCCCATCTGCCGTCAGTCCTTCGAGCGACGTGGCCTGCCCATTGCCACGATCTAATTGATTTAAGTTTATTCATAAAAACTGTACAACTAATGTAGGTAAAACCTAACGAAATCATCATTAACAGCCTGTTTTCGTCCGCTGCTGAACATAAGCCTCTTCAATGGCACATCACTGAGCTCGTTCTTCAGCTTTACGCATCCAACCACTACCAGCCACTTTAGGTATATCGTCACTCCATCTAGCTGGAGGGCGCCCTACACTACGTTTGCCTAGACGCGGTCTCAAAAATTCGAAATATGGGTACTTAGTACTCAAGCTAGTCATTCGTCGTCGTCGTCATTCGGTCCATAGGAAAATTATTAAATTGGGAAGCATGGGCTGTCAGCTGCCAATGTCATTGTCAATACCAAATACTGTCAAACGTCAAACAAAAGTTTAAATCAAATCAAAACAAGCATGAGTGTAGGATAATCCTAAGACTCCCGTGTCATGTTATTATTATAGTATTTTAAGATTTATGAGAGACAAACACTCGGTAAAATGAACCAAAAAGCTGTTATAAAGTTGTGTAAAGATTTAGGATGCTGTGACGCATGTTGCCTTAGGTATTTAGGACTTAAGAATCCAACAGCATATGAGAATGTTCAAGAGTTTGTTCACAAAATTGTAAGTTTTATTTTTATTATTCCACAAATAACATTAACATAGAATAAACTCGAGGTGTAACTGGATTTCCTGTTGTTTAACAGTGGTTTATTACATTGTTTTTAAAAACTTACCTACTTTCCATGTAACCTTAAAATTATATCATGTTGTTTATCCCGCGAATAATTACTGACCAATATTAACATATGGAGACATCTTTATATGTCAAAACGAGCTCACCATCATATATTTGTAAGGCAGACGAGAATAGCCCTCTAGAACTGCCTCTTCATTCTGCTTTTATTTGTAAACTAATAGTTATGCAGCAGTTTTTATTTTTAGCGCTTTTATTTCATATATAGGTAAATACAATATTTGTTGTACAAATAGTGTTAAACTATTAACTAAAGAATTTGGGGTCTACTGGTATCAGTTACCCACAGTACTTCTACAGCTGATGGACTTAAACATAATTATATGGTTGTGGTTGACGTAATACTATTTTAGTATATTTTTGTAAGTGTGAAGAAAGTGGCAAACATGCACAAGACACAGAGACAAGAGACCTGCCCACACAGCTGAGTGAATCAACGGCTGAGCAGAACTCAACACATCAATGTCCGGAGCCGCCTGCAAAGCGAATCAAAGTTGGTGGTATCTGTGTCAGCTGCTTGGGAGTGCTTCAGGAAGAGAATTGGCAGCCATGTTGTGACATGGTCAAAGAAGTGTTGGACAAGAAGGGGTCAGTATTCAGTACCATGGCTTTATTATACACCTCTGCAATGAAGGCTGATTTGTGTTTAAATATGTTTTGTCTGAGAACCAGTGATTGCAATTGTTTGTTTACATGTTACAATGAAGTATAAAAAAAATGTCTGTTTTCTATAATACATAGCATAGGCTGCATCATTGCAAATAATAATAATAATATGAGCAATGTATGACAGACACCCAACAATGAGGCCTTACATAGCACACTTTGATTACATAATGTCTAGATGGAGTGTCAGTTCACGGAAAGCATTTCAAAAATTAGCCGTGAAATGCATGAATCGAGTAATTCCAATCATAAAAATGTCATACTTGAATATTTAATAATTGTTTTATATGGAAATAAATTACTTGTACATATGACAAAATATAAACATGAAGTGTCCAATAAAATAAGTTTTCAAATTAAAAGAGATGGTTACATATTATTTACTTCTACATGGTCTAGTACATCTTGAATAATTTCATTGACACCCCTGACATTTTGGAAAATATTGCTTTAAAAGTATGCAGACCTGGTTCCCGTTCACAAAAAACAGTTTACACCAGTAATAGCTTCTTCAGAAGTAGCACAAGCATTTATAATAATACATTAAATGAAATAGATATATTTAACCAAAGTTTAACATCTTATAAAATGAAATTGCACTACCTACTCTTCAAGAACACATAAAATAATATAACATATATGCCAGCTGCATGAACTTATGTATTCTGTTTAAAATAAATTGTGGGTGGGTACTTATACTACACTTTCAAATTGTATGGAACTCTAAGTCTTTTTGAACCCATTGTTTTCCTAAGTAAGTTTTTTTATGTGACTGTTTTTTCCTACATAAATAAAATAAAAATAAAAAATACATGGACTCAAATATTTATGGGCGATAGAATATTGTTATCTGGTATCATTTTTGCTCCGTTTAAACTGTCAAACACCAAGCGGTCACCGGTGACCGCGACCTATTGTTCTTTAATTGTGTCTATAAAGCCGGTACTCGACGAGTTAAACTACAAGCCGCATGCACACATGCAACAAATTATGCGATGTCATTTCTATGGTGACGCTTCATCTAGACATATTTATAATCTAAGATAGCACAGAAGTACATAATTCCACAGGTACGAGTGCGAGACATTCGCGTGCGCACTGTCCGCGCCCATCGCCGCGCTCGTGCGCGAGCGGCTCGTGGCGCTGCAGCTGAAGCACGACCTGCTCGAGTACGACGACTGTGAGTAACTGCCCTAGCGGCCTCTACTGCCCACTTGTCTGCTAGCTGAGCCTCACTCGTGTCATCGTTTTCTCTTACAGCGTCGGTGACGCCCCTCAAGGAGGCGTGGAAGTGGTCATTCGGGGTCCGGCTGGCTGAACACGTCGGCAAAACGCTGGACTCGGGCGCCGTGTCTCCGCTGCTGATCACTCTGCACATGGAGTATCCGGACGAACTGCAGGAGCTGGAGGCGCTAAAGGCGCTGGCGCCGGCGCTGTTCGAGGCGAGGCGTGCCGCCGGCCGTCGCTTCGGGGTGGAGTTCACGCGGCGTGCCGCAGAGCAGGCGCTGGGGGCGCCACCCGCGCGGCGCTGGCGGCCGCCGGCGTGGCGGGCGGGGCGCCGGCCGTGCGCGCGCGCTGCGTCAGCGTGGCGTGTGCGCACGCGCCGCTGTACCTGGCGGGGCGCTACGTGAAGCTGAGCCGCGCGCTGCCGCAGACGCCGTGGCTGGTGAACGGGCGCCGTATGATGCACTCGTCGGTGCAGGAGATTATCTTCGAGCCCATTGCGGCGCTGTACGGCCTGAGCCCGGAGGCCGCGGAACACCGACTGAAGTTCATGTCGGCGGGGCGTGAGGACGTGGACGTGCGCTGTCTCGGCGACGGTCGGCCCTTCGCAGTCGAGGTGCGCAGTCCCGCTTAGTATTAGAAATTATCAGTATTGATGAATAATTTGAAGATTTTAAGTAAATGTTTAAATCTTACATCGTAGGTAACGGATCCAACACGGCAGCCAAGCGAGGCGGAGCTGAAAGAGCTGTGCGAGCAGATCTCGGTGGGCGGACAGGTCGTGGTCCGCAGCCTCGTGCCCATACACAGGTAGCTGAGCTAGCATCCGCCGGGACCCGGCCGTCACAGCCACCACCCACACCAGCCTTGTTACAGGGAACAACTGGCGCTGCTCAAGAAGGGCGAGGAGACCAAGTGCAAGACGTACGAAGCGTTGTGCATCAAACTGTCGCACTCTCGCGACGACTTGGCCGAGGTGAGACTCGCCACGTCCGTCAGCTCCCGGCGGCTCCCGGCGGCTGCAGCCAGTGAGCGCCTCGTGTGTTGCAGGGCGGCGGCGACGTGCGCGTGACGCCGCGCGACATCGCGGCCCTCAACGCCTACCGCAACACGCCGCCCGGCGACAGCGCGCGCGTGCAGCTCACCCAGCGCACGCCCATCCGCGTGCTGCACCGCCGCCCGCTGCTGGCGCGCGCGCGCCGCATCCTGGAGCTGCGCGCGCGCGCCGTGCCCGCGCAGCCGGCGCTGCTGGCGCTGCGCGTGCGCACGGAGGCGGGCACGTACGTCAAGGAGTGGGCGCACGGCGAGCTGGGCCGCACGCGCCCCAGCCTGGCGGACGCGCTGGGGGCCCGCGTCGACATACTGGCGCTCGACGTGGCCGCCGTCGAGTTGCCGTGGCCGCCCGCGCCCGACGACAAGGCACCGAGCGACCAATAAAGCAATGACCTACAATCACCTGTCTATGATTCCTCCTCCTCTACCACGGACCACTCACAAACACTCGAGCTCGAGCGCTCACCTCTACAGTATACAGTTGTCGTACACGCGACGCTGTATCTATCCAAACATCAAAGAGCAGTGGCGCAATATATTCATATTGTTTGTCATTGAGTTAAACCCAAAGAAAACAATCTCCAGTTTAGTAATTTGGTAGTTCTGCCTGCAATGTTTTCCGGGAGTTTTGAAAACGGCCAACTTTGTAGATTTTGATGTTTTTTTCGATTTCCATTTTGCACCTTTGCACTGGCACCCATAGACTATACAGACTCGAACTGAAGTGAGCTCCGCCGAGTGCGACTCTGACGCCACGACTCTGCCTAAGCGCACCAGAAATCCGCTAGGTGGCGCGCTTGCATTCCATTTAGCGTCCATAGGTACTCATGACGTGTGCGTTACCCAGGCCAGATGTTGTCGAAAATGGTCATTATCTATAAGATTCAAATTACCATTTTCGACATCTGGCCTGGGTAACGCACACTAAAAAACGGATAAAAAACCGACTTCAAAAAACCAAAAACTAATAACAAAGAAAAAGTCAAAACTAAAAAGAAAAAGATAACTATCATTAGTACTGATAGGTTACCCACCCACTGAGGTCGGCACCACACCTATGCAGATTATAAGTGACCAGACAAATAGGTGTAAAGTTGTAATCAATACAAATTATACAAGCCCAAACACAAAGTAGTTACTGTTTACCGTTGAGGAGTTTTCTTAACAATTACACTTCTTCATCATCAGACCCTTAATGACAGTACCACTCTATCTAGGTGTAAATTGCTCATCAATACAAATTAATAGACGCATTACTCGCTCCTAGAATTTTCGAAAGTTCCCCTCAGTTTCCCTAGGATCCCATCATCAGATCCTGATCTCATGGAAATGGGACCATCTCGGGAGTATACCCTTTCAAACAAAACAAGAATTTTCGAAATCGGTTCTCAAATGGCGGAGTAATGTGCGAACTAACAAAAAAAAAAACAATCAGCCGAACATAGTACCTACCTCCTCCTTTTTTTGAAGTCGGTAAAAACCCGACTTCACTACGTCTGGAATAACCACCTAACAACCTATCTACCTAATACAACGTATTTAGCGAAAACATATATCAAGGTTTAAATCAAAATAAATGATCAACAGCCATCAAGATTTTCAAGATAACCATAATTTATACACTAAGTGTCGCCAAGTGTGGATAGTCACTCGCAAGTACTCCAGAGTCACAAGTCAGCCACGACTGTAGTTTCATTATACCTCTATAGACTCGAGTCCCTGCCCCAGTAACGACTACGACTAGCACACACGGTGCAGTAAAATAAATATAATGTTTTACCCTTACATGTACCAACTCACTACTGAAAGGCCCTAATTATAACAAATCCTAAACACAGTACACACACACAGTTCTTTATACTATGTCCTAAAGGTAAGGTCAAGGCAAGCATGTTTCTCATCAGAGTTTTGCTTAGAACTTTAACTATTTTCCAACCCAACAATAATCTTAAATGAACGTAGGACTTTAGAGGACTCTTCAATTCTGACTTTAACTACCAATACTTAACTTGGCAGCTTTTGACCTTATTTAAAAAAAGGGTATGATTTAAGCTGTCACCAATTTAATTCATTTTGTGTTGCTTAAATAATAGGGTTTGCCCTCAAAATAGTAGATTTGTCACCAAAATGTAGTCAACAAACAATATAAAATCAATTCCACAATAAATTACTTACCGAAAATCATGGAGATACGGGGTCAAGTACCAAATAAATGGTTTTGTATGTATTATAATAGGTTTGTCCTAATAGTATTTAAGCAAACTAATTTAAAGAGATCACCAATAAATCATATATTATATCACTAGAAAATTTCATGAAGGTCTCAAAATGTAGGGTGGTCGTCATCATCCTTTCAACCAAAAGAGTCTACTACTTAACTGGCCATGTGCCTCCCCCAAGGGTCTTAATTTCCACAGGTAGTATAAATATATTTAAATTAAATTTCTAGCTGAATAGTAAATAAAACACCTAATTATTGTATGATCGTACCTACAACCAACCTACCTCTACAACCCATTCGTTGAGGCCCGAAAGCGCGCCAATTTGTCTCCCTTCCCTTCCTCTTCACTTTGAACATATTTTCATTAAAATTATAAACTGATGTATTAAATTGGTAACGAATACATTATTTTAATAACTGAACTAAATAAAATGTAACTAATGTATTGGTGACAAAATAACAAATAAAAAGGAGTTGCAGTCAGGGATCGATTAATCGATTTATTTGGTGACAGATCTACCATTCTGAACACCAAGCTTTTATTTAAGTAATAAAACTATTATTATAAGAACGAAGTTTATATTCATGTAATGCACTACAATTTTATTGGTAATCCATTTCATATTTTACACATCATATTACCAATAATTTGGTAATTCATACCTGGGAACACTCTTTGTTTATCTGAGAACGAAAATATTTCGTGGAGATAGATCAATTTATTAGGTGATACAACTTGATGTCAAATATAAATTTTGGTGACAAAAAATATAGTTCCCAAAAAAAAAAACTTTTCTCAATATTTTGTACCGCGTGAACAAGCACCACTTAAATCTGTATCTACCTCGCGGAAACCATACCCCAAAACAAATGAAAACCAAAGACTACTCGAGATATGACCTAACAATACACAACACGAAATAACACTATACATGGTCAATCTGATAATCTCGGAGCTAAAACAATACGACATTTTTTTTAAAGGGTAGTATTTAAACGAATATCAAAAAATATCCTTTTTCTTTGCAATAAGATTCCGAATTCCCATCAAAATTACTGATTGCACAGCAAAATATTTAACTCAAAATATTACTAAACACACTACAATTTATTTTCGCAGCGTACAACGATTTTGCCTAAAGCAAAAGCTTTCATTAATGCACAGCTAATAATCTTAATGCACATTATATAGGTAAACTCTTTTTACCGACTTCAAAAAAAGGAGGAGGTACTATGTTCGGCTGATTGTTTGTTTGTTCGCGCAGTACTCCGCCGTTTGTGGACCGATTTCGAAAATTTTTGTTTCGTTTGAAAGGGTATACTCCCGAGATGGTCCCATTTCCATGAAGTCAGGATCTGATGATGGGATCCTAGGGAAACCGAGGGGAACTTTCGAAAATTCTAGGGGGGAGTAATGCGTCTATTATGTTTTTCAATTACGAATTTTAAACACTACAATTTAATAAGGGTCTGGAGTCGACCTGATGATGGAGCCGACAGACAGTCGAGGGAACTCCTCAGTGGTTTATACTAACTACCTTGTGTTTGGGCTTAATTAATTTGTATTGATGAGGACTTTACAACTAGATAGAGTGGGGCTGTCATTAAGGGTCTGATGATGAAGAAGTGTAATTGTTAAGGGAACTCCTCAACGGTATACAGTAACTACCTTGAGTTTGGGCTTGATTAATTTGTATTGATGAGGACTTTACACCTACATAGAGTGGGGCTGTCATTAAGGGTCTGATGATGAAGAAGTGTAATTGTTAAGGGAACTCCTCAACGGTATACAGTAACTACCTTGAGTTTGGGCTTGATTAATTTGTATTGATGAGGACTTTGCACCTATGTATATTATAAGTAACAAAACGGGTATATGTAGCTTTACACTGAAAATGGTAAAATAATAAAATAAAAACTGCGTTTAAAAAACCGACTTCAAAAACCAAAAACTAATAACAAACAAAAAGTCAATACTAAAAAGCAAAAAATAACTATTATTAGTACTGATAGGTTACCGACCCACTGATAGGTTAGAAGTCGGTGCCATAAGCTCATATCATAATGATATAACTTAATGTCCACAAAATTGTGAATTAGATACCTATTAAGGTTTTAACTCGTCGAGTACCGGTTTTATAGACACAATTAAAGAACAATAGGTCGCGGTCACCGGTGACCGCTTGGTGTTTGACAGATTAATCAATAATTTTGTATGTAACTTATGGCACCGACTTCTTACCTATCAGTGGGTCGGTAACCTATCAGTACTAATAATAGTTATTTTTTGCTTTTTAGTATTGTTCTTTTAAATATAGCTTTATTTTTAAATTATTTACAACAGTTTTTCTAAATAAAGCAGCATTTTAAATTCACTTATTTTATTTAAACAAATATTTTTAATATAAACGGCTAAATGGTATGAAAAGATTTGAAAAGCAGTTAGTGATATAACGCTCGGCGGCCGCTACCGCGGCACCGCTCGCTACGCTCGCTCGCCTCGCGCCTTGTGAGGGTCGCAGTTCTAACCTAACCTAACCAAATGTTTCGGGGTGCCCAAAATTGCTGTGCAGTCAGTATTTATGCTATGTATGTAGTATTTTTGTACAAAAACAAATAAAAAAGGATTGTCGTATTGATGTATAATTTCGAATTATCTGCAGTTTGAGTTTTGTAGAACATTTCATTTGTTTGTAATGAAGTAAGTTATTTGATGTAAAAAAGAATATAAATGATGAGTATGTATTGATAGGCGATTATTTATTTGATATGCAATTTATAATATCCCTTTTTTAAATAACTGCCCGACAAAAATAAACTAAAAGGACAATGCGACGAATTGGGCCTAATGACCAATACACATGAGATATTATTTTTGTGATAGGTCATAACACACAACTAACGGGAAAAATATTAAAAAAATTACCGGGTTCTTGTACAGCTACGTCGAAAAGTTTTATTTAATGATGTCAAATATTTTTCAATTATTAAATGTTTTTCAATAGGAGTAAAAGAATATTACTTTAAAATATTACTAAAGTCACTAATTCTAACCACATGGAGCCACATGGGATTATAATAACACAATATACCTGTTATAAAAAATATAAAGTGTATTTCGACTATTAGAGGGCGTAATAAAAGTTATTGTTTTAGACAATCTAAAACAATCAATTATTGTACTTGTTTGACGGGAAGTCGTACGCTGGGAAGCTGTGCGCATATTTTATCCGTAGTTTGGTATATGGGCTTAGCTAGATACGAAGGATTTAATCCTCCAGCCGCATTTTTAGATTCTAATATTCTGGATATAGACTAATGTAAAGAAAAATAAACAAATGCGTAAAAGGAAACTTGTTTTATTTATTGTATTTATTATTATATGTAGGTACCTAGTTGTCGATGGATGTCATAAGAGGCGTTTTAAATTGCAAATATTGCAATCAACAGCATTTGGGAGTGGCTCCAGTGCTATTTTAGGGTTATATGCCTTCATTCGTATTGAAAAACAATTATTAATTGGAAAATACCTATTTAACATAAATAAATAATACCTACTTTTCGACGTGACTTTACAACAACCCGGTACATTTAATTTTAATTTTTCTCGTTATTTGTGTGTTATGACCTACCACAAAAACAATATCTCATATGTATTGGTCAGTAGGCCCAACTCTCATAGTGTTTTGCCCATTGTCCTTTGTAATTGGTAAACGAATAACAGTAAATTCAAATCTTTGACTCGTGTTTGACCTATAAAGTACCTACCTACTATATCAGACGTATTAGAATCGTAATAAAAGAAACAAAGTCACCTGGTATGATCCCGATGGAAGCAGAGTCCAACTGCAGACATCAACACGCCGCTCACCAAACGATGCGTTAACGCCATGTATCTCACGCCGTGCTCATGCCACGTCTCCTGGCCAGCTACAGCTGTCCATACACTGGACGCCAGTGGACTTGAGGTAGCTGCCTCAACGTTAGCCACGTTGAATCTTCACTATTGAGTAGGTACCTATGTATAGCTAGGCACTCCCAATATTATATAACTATCTTCTTTGTCACAATAATGCATGTAGCAAGTTTTTCACGAAACGGCTCCGATGATTTCAACATCTTCAATCACGTAGGTCCATCCCAATTCTAATGTCGAACGCGGCAACACTCATCCCTCTTCTGCTGTCGGAGGAGGCATGATTATGTTCCGGTTGCTCAGACATAATGTGGGCGAATATGAGTATGCGTAGCGTTATGAGCACTAAGCGAAACGTAGGGAGTTCCGTGACAACGTCTTCACCCGGTGGCGATTCAAACTGAAGTGAGCCCCGCCGAGTGCAACTCCGACGCCACGACTTGCCAAAGCGCACCGGAAATCCGCTAGGTGGCGCGCTTGCGTTCCATTTAACGTCCATACTCATGACCGGTTCTGACATATATACCTACATTTAAAATAGACATAACCAAAATATATGTAGGTAGTTGTCAAAGGTAGTTCAATAATGTCAAAGAATATAAAATTAATCAGTATACACACGCGAGGGGCGCGATGGCTTATTTATTAGCGTATTTTTCATTCATGTATGTATACGTTTGTAGTTTCTTTACCGACTTATAGGATTCTTTTTTTATTGAATAGCTAATAATGTTAACCTTTTTTAAGCCGACAAAAACTGTTAAAGGCCAATCCTCCGCTAGCGTCGGACATCGTTGTCCGACACGGCATCCAATGTGTATCATGGATGAGTGAGAGTAGGTATTATTAAACGTACGAGTAAACAAATATGTATAAGCAGAAAGTTCCGAACTGCTAAGCTATGGGGAGTTATACGTGTATTGTTTATTTATTTAAATTGTGATTCAATTATAAAAGATAGACATGCTGTTCGGGGATATTTTTAAATAATTTTATGTAGAACATTTCCGTCATACATAATTTCTATGTAGCTTCAACCATAAAGGCTGCACACGCGACGTAAGCTTAAAAATGGAGTAACTTCTCCCGGTTTGCCAACATTCCCCTTCACTGCTCTGTTCCTATTGATTGTAGCGTGGTGGAACCTCCCCAGGAGTATGAAGAATAATTGTACCAAGTTTCGTTAAAACCCATCGAGTAGTTTTTGTTTCTACCGAATCGGTGCGCGGTGTACAAATATTACACTTATGTCTATACCTCTATTTATGTACTATTCTACAACAATGTTCTTGCAATTTTTGTCATCGAGAAAATCTTTAGTTGAGTACCTAGTATAGCACTTATTAACAGAAACTTAAATAATTTTGTTCTGAATGACGTGAAGTTAGGTTCTAGGTCATTTTGAAGCCTATTATAGACTGTATTGCGTAGTGCGTTGACACGGTACAGATAATTTGCTAGGGAATCTCCTATTTCTATTTTTCTTAATAAAGATATCAGGGTTTTTGTAGACAAAAATGGAGACTGCGAGTAAGTATATAGAGACAGGATACGATGTTTTTAAACAAGGGTATGCAACTGTCTAGGTAGTCAGCACCGCATATTGCACGCACACACCTTTTCTGTGCTCTGAATGCTCGGATCACAGACTACAGAATTGACCTCTCTACAGATTTATTATAATAACTACTATATATAGAACTGCTGAAACAATGAAGGATGAGTGCTGATGCTATGAACTCTGTACGATTAAATAATGTATCGAATGACGTGTGTGTGTGCGTGCCATGTACAGTCGTCGACATTTACGAGATGTTACTGTGCGCCTGATAAAATAATGTTAGCAAACAATGTGAATCTATACGTACGTATCAAATGCTGCACACACACAATGTTGCACGACAACACAGTAAATTACTTATTACAATCAACCCAAAGGAGCGGCATAGCTATAATTTGTATGACAGAGGAGAGAGAAGTCTACCAAAAATTAATGAGCCACTATTACTAGTTAGCCAATCACAAATTAACGCGGGAGGGGTTACCATCGGCGTCGAGACGGCGATGAAGTACCTAGGACTCGTCCTCGACAGTCGGTGGAACTTCATAGAGCATTTCCGACGTTTGGCTCCAAAGTTGGAGAGGACGGGGGCTGCGTTCAAACGCATCCTCCCCAACCTCGGGGGGCCAAACGCCTCCTGCCGGAGGTTATACGCCGGGGTCGTGCGGTCCATGGCCCTCTACGGCGCCCCTGTTTGGGCGCCGAACTTGTTGCGGCGTCCTGCTCGGACGCTGCTCAAGTCACAGAGGGTCATGGCGATCCGAATGATCCGCGGATACCGCACGATCGCTGGGGAGTCGGCGAACCTCCTTGCCGGATTACCGCCGTGGGATCTGGAGGCGAAGGTGCTCGCGCGCGTGTATAACATGCGCGCGGAGGCACGTCGCCGGGGCGAAACTCCGCTGCCGCGCCAGATAAGTGCGTGGCGGGATGAGCTCCGGCGCGATCTCATGGCGGAATGGCAGCAACGACTGTCGCAACCGAGGGCTGGGCTCGCTGCCATTGCAGCGGTAAGTCCCCTCTTTGAGGAGTGGCTTGAGAGACGCTACGGCGTCCTCACCTACCGCCTGACGCAGGTCCTCACCGGACATGGAAGTTTCGGGAGGTACCTGTGTCTGATGGGGCGGGAGGAAACGCCCGGGTGTCATCACTGCGAGGACCGCCCTGAGGACACGGTGGAACACACCGTAGCGGAATGCCCTGCGTGGGCTGAGCACCGCCGTGCCCTCAGGGAAGTGATCGGCGATGGCGACCTCTCGCGTCCGGGCCTAGTGCAGGCCATGATGCGGAGCGAGGGGGACTGGGATGCCGTCTCCTCCTTTTGCGAAGCAGTCATGCTAGCTAAGGAGGAGGCGGGACGCGTGAGGCAGCGAAGCGCTGCCTCCTCGCGACCCAGCCATCGCGAAGGACACACCGGGCGTCGGGGATCGCGGGACGATCTCCGGCCACCGTAAGCGCGGGCCTGCGGACGGCGAGCATGGGTGGCTCCCCGTCCGACCAGAAACAGACCCGAGCGTACGGCGCGTCGCGTTCCGCGCGCGCCTCAAAGAGCCATCAGACCACCACAGATGGGGCCCAATAGGGCCGATGCCGATTCGGAGTCGCGGAGAACCTAACGGGTAACCGGGGCTCCGGCTCGACGTGCAGGAGAAGGAACGGGGTGGTTTTTAGTCAGTAAGAGTCTGACACTCCCTTCCGCCTCACCCAGGCGGGAGCAGTCATTCGATGATTTTCCCCCCTTAAAAAAAAAAAAAAAAAAAAAAAAGCCAATCACAAATCGTCGGATTTAGCTTTTAGCATGTAAACGAACAAGAGAAAAAGTGTAGGTGCTAGTTAAAGTAAGTAATGTAACGTATGCCCATTGTAAAGGTACCTAGGTATAGAAATGTGGTATCAGGTAGCACGCCGTAAACGTTAAAGAGATTGATTTGGATAAATAAACAATTTGGAAGTAGAACATTGCAGTAATGTTGCGATGGATCGAAAATAAATCTGACAATATATAGCGAAATGCATTGTTATGAAGATCCCGCGCCGGCTCGCGCCTCCGGCGATTCACGCATTCCCAGGCGGGCGGCGCGCGACCTCTCGTCTCGTGTGTGCTCGCAGCCAGTGCCAGCCACTAGCCAGTGCTCGCCCAGTCGCCGCCGCCGCAACATGGCCGCGGCTCTCTCCAGCTCCGTGTGCGTGCTGCTCGCCGTGCTGCCGCTGCCGCCGCCGCCGGTGGAGGTGAGTACACACGCACTGCCCAGCCCGCTACACACACACACACACACACACTCACGCTCGAACTAAGCCCCGGGCGCTTGTTGCAGGCCCAGATGCCCGGCTCGTTCTTTTGGAAACCGCGCGTGGCGCTCGACCTAGCCTCTCCGAAGGGTGAGTTCATGCCTTTTTCCATTACTTTTTTTTACTCGTTTAAGTACTTAACGCCATACTTTACAGGTGGTATGCAACCGAAGACGACGTCAGGGAAGGTTCGGGCACCGACGACAAAAGAAATCATGGATGGCTACGCGGTTGGCATTAACGGGTTCAAGATGGCGATGGCGGCGGCGGCCGTCGCCAGCTACGTTGGATATATGCAAAACGCCTTTCCGCATCTGCACCCCTGCCGCGCGCACTATTGGACCAACGCGTACCGCTGGGCGCTGCGTTACCTTAGTCTGTGAGTACTACATACATAGAACCACAATAACACGTCTCTACTGCAGTCAAATGTCAAAGCTAACGATTTGTTCGTGGCCAGCCTTCCAGATTGGTTGGGCGGCGACACAAAATATGTGGGCACGCACAGGGTGTGGAGAAAGCGCTTCTCCTATATGGAGAGCTTCGTGCCGAAGTGGATTCGCCCCATCTTTTACTGTGTGAGCGACGAGTCCTGGGAGCTTGAGGAGAAAGAGTGGGCGAAATTCGTGAAATATGCTGAGCCACATTTCGGCAAGTACTACCGCTACCCTTCGCGGAAATTCAACAATCACAATTCATTCCGACATGTGGTTAAAGACGATGAATTAAGTCAAGACTCCATTGAATAGAACGCGTCCTACGATCTGAATGCAGGTGTACACACGAGTCACACGATGACGATGACGATGTACTTTTTAAATGTAGGTGCCTACTGTATATAAAATAAAATATATTTTAATATTTGGTTACACTGTGCTCTACTCTTAAGTACAAAACATGTTCTACTCTTGTTCAGTGATATTTCAATATAATCCCAAGACGTAATCAGCATTAAAAAGGTTTCCTGAAAAATATCTACCTAAGTTTGGTAGGTACCATAAATACCACAATTGAAATAAAAAACCCGAATGTTAAAAAAATGCGTTCAAAAGCCGCCTTCAAAAACCAAAAACTAATAACAATAAATAAAACTAAAAGCTAGCAAAAAATAACTGCTATTAGTGTTAATAGGTTACCCACCCACTGATTGATTAGATGTCGGTGCCCTAAACATTAATATAACATACATACATACATAACATTACGCCTTTTATCCCTGAAGGGGTAGGCAGAGGTGTACATTATGCCACTGTACAATGTAACACCCACTTTTCACTATTTATGTTATGAGCCCCATGTAATAGGGGGTGAGCCTATTGCCATATACCGGGCACAATTCCAGACTCCGTGCTACTACTGAGAATTTTTTTAAATTCAGTAATACTTTGCCCGACCCGGTAATCGAACCCGAGACCCCTAGCCCAGTAATCGCACTTGCGACCACTCTGTCAACGAGGCAGTTAATAATTAATAATAAATTTATTTTGTTTTTCCACCATATAACAGAAACAGAATTAGGTGTTATACTTGACGTATATTATATTTATACAACACAATAGTACAAGCGTAACATACGGGAGTTACATATTAGTTCCCAACAGGATACATACAATTTGAATGACATTACAAATTAATGTGAAAATAAACATCAAGAAAAACCAAAATCAAAACTTCTTCGAAACAATAAGTAATAAAAACAAAAAATATGATTACTATTGTGTAACATTCTGTTTATATTCTAATCTGGATAGTTTGACGATTTCTAGATTTTTGTTAAGTTCATTATACAAATGATTACTTCTGAAATAAAAGAATTTTTGGGCAAAAATTGTATTAACTGGAACGGGATTACATACATCAAAGCAGCTTCTTGTATTTAGTTTATTTCTGATTGACGGAAGATCGATAGAGGCATGCTTTTTGACCATTATGTCTAGTATGTACATATATAGAAACTTTGTTGTCTAACTTTCAGAACGTTGCTGTATTTTATTATAATGATATAGTGGGGTATAATCTCTAGCTTCAGATAGAGCTACTTTTAAAATTAAACGTTTTCGACGTCTTTCGACCGGTAGGGTACGAGATCTGTTGGAATTGGAACCACCCCAAACAGAAATCCCGTAACACAGAATGGATTGGGAAAGCGATTTGTAATTTTATAAACAGTATTGTTGGGAATCTTTGAAGGTAGAAGAAAATTTCGTTCGGTATGAAGGCGTGTCGAATGCAAAACCGCGCGCTATTCGTTTGAGTTCGTCAGACCGGCAATACGCCGCCGCGCCGCCGGTCAATAACAAATGCCGTTGTATTTTCTTATTCGTTTTCCTGATAAACGGTAGTTTGGTTATTCAAATCGGTTGAGTCCTCTTGTTGCCCCACAACAGTCGCATATTTCATTTTTCTTGCTGTTGCGTAGCAAGTGAACTATTTTGGTAAAGGGTATACTTTGTTGGGTTTACTTACATACATGTCTGAGAAAAATGATGGTGAGTAGTTCCAATTTATGTTTAGCTCCTAGCTGTTGATATTATATGCCTGTACGTGATCTAAATTAAAGCCTTCGCACTGAATTACTTTAAGTATGTGGCTTGTTTAACCAAAACCAGCCCGTGAGAGCTAAACGTTTCATATTTTATACCCGACTGTAGGAAGGGTACTGTTTTTGCCTATATCGTACTTGTTGTTCTTATTCCGTGCTTTGTTGCTTCTTATTTGAACAGATGCAAGCAGTGTCGCAGCATGTATCGAGTGGTGCAGGCGCCTCCCAGAGTTGTGGCTGGTGGCGTGCTCGTATGGAAAGGTGACCCAGGCCGCGGCAGAGTTCATGGAGCCACGGCGAGGGGAGTAGACTCCCAATACGTGTGCTGCCTTCTTCGAGGGTGCAGAAGATTTCGAATTCACACGGCACGTTTTTAGTCATTCGTAAGATTAACGATTTATGGATCGACGTGACCGGCGGTAACCGCCGCCGTCCCGACCCAATTCTTATGTTCTCAGATGCAGACGGTATGGAGTTGCTGCACAGCTGAACAAGCTGCCAGGAGTAATGAAAATGGACCTCGCGGAGCCTGGTGCGGGCGCTGACCTGGTGAGGGCGCTGTCCTGGTGGAGCGGGCGGTGTCCCGGTGCAGGCATAGTCCTGGCAGGCGTAGTCCTGGTTTACGTTTTTAACGTAGTTTGTAACGTAACAGTAACCGATTTATCTCTGAAAATCGGTTCCAGTTCATCAATACATATAATAAAATTGTAAAAGGTCGGTGTCTATGCATCCTTAGCCTTACTTCCTTACTTATATTATAAATCGTTTATAATATAAGTAAGGAAGTTATAAATTAAAACTATTAACTCTGCCCTCCCTTTACATATTTGAGGTTGCCAGCTACGTAAAAACTAACATCCACTTGTACACCCACCCAAAAAGTAAACGTCATAAATATAGGATCTGCGCTACACAACATAAGAAAGCCATCTTCAACAAAAACATTTTAGGTATGGCACCCAAAATCTTTAATAAGTTACCTAAAGACATAATAGAAATTGACAATATTAATATATTTAAAAAACGACTACATGAATTTTTGGTAACTAAGTGCTATTATAAAATTAATGACTATTTAGATGAAAGATGCTAGACCTGCTATATCCGATTTGCAATATATGTAAATTTTTGGTTTTTTCAAAAAATGTAACCAACCCTGACTATCTTGGGTGATTCTAATCAGATTAACCATAGATTTGGCTATGTCGAACGTACATATGACATTCTATACTCTTAATTTTCCTTTTAATTTGACCACTTAAATTTTGATACATACTGACATTGGATTCTATGTAATTTTGTGCTTATCATGACATCCCATATTATTATATTCCTTAATTAAATTATGACATTTCGCATTAGGGATTAAAGCTTATGATATGACTGATGACGATGGCTCAGTGGTTTAACCCCCATAATAAATGTCTTATTCCTGTGTAGATACTTAAATGACTATTAATGTATTTCTGTTTTCTAATTTAAATTAATCTATTTACTAAAACTCATATGAATTTGTATGCTTTAAGGCAAACATAGACGGACTCGCTGTATTGCATTGTATGTCAATCTTTCAAACAACTTTATATAACCTATGTTTACAAATAAACAAATAAACGAATAAACGAAAACGATTTCATCGGAAAGTGAGTTTGTTTGTTCCACTTTCACGCCGTAACTACTAAACCGATTGCTTTGAATTTTTGCAGACGTGAAGTTAGAAGTCTGGATTAAATAATAGGGTACTTTTTATCCCGGAAAAATTTGATATTCTCGATTGAAAACGAAATTATTGGTAGGTATAGATGGCGCTGTGTGTATTGGTATATGTCACATAGGCTACTTTTTATCCTTTTGTAACGCGAGCGAAGCCGCGGGTAAAAGCTAGTGTAAGATAAATAAGAAAAACTTTATTATGTAAATGTGGGAGAGCCATGCTTCGGCACGAATGGGCCAGCTCGACCGGAGTGGATATCCCACGGCCTTACAGAAAACACGTGAAACAACGCTTGCGTTGTTTCGTCGTGTGAGTGAGGTAACCGGAGGCCCAATAACCACCCCGCTCCCCACCCTTCTCCAATCTCTAAATCCCCAACAAGCCTCAAATTCCTAATCCCAAAAGG